CCATTTATGTGGGGTTGGGGAGTCAGATTATAGCTTGTGGGAGTACTTGCTGACCCCCATCATAGGATTTCAGAGGCCAGACTACTATTCATTTTGTCCATCCTTTTATCCTCACTGTGTGTTAAGGAGTATAAACAATACTAAATTCTATGTTAAGCTGTATTTGTATCCTTTTAAATATAAGCATTAGAGACTTCTCTATATTCTTCCAATAGCTTCCTTAACTATCTCTTTGTCCACCTTAGCATTGATGTGATTTATGATTGCCGTGTTAATACTATTTTTAGAGATTTTCTTCCTTGTGCAAGATTGTGCATTTTAGGGGGAAGCTTCTGAGTAGCCACTTCTTTGATATATAGCAATGTTGAATGACATAAAATAACATTCATTTATCACCTCTCAGTGCTGGGTACTCTATTTGACATCTCAATAGGTGTGGGCTAAGGCTATGGGCTTATCTGGCATTCCATCTGCTTTCAAGCTAATAAAGGCTTTTTGGCAGGATCTAGTTCCTCTCATACAAAGGGATTCAATTTCTTTCTAGCAGTTAGCTGGAGACACTCTTCGGCTTCCAGAGGCCACATGTAGCTCCTTGCTTCTCAACATATCCCTCAGCTTCCTCAAAGAATAAAGGGGAAGGAGAGTGCCCAGCAAGACAAGAACAGTGCTCTTATGTCAGATAATCACACTCATATCTTTGCATAATCCTGACACCTTTGATTAAAAGCAAGTCATTGGTTCTATTGTACCAAGGAATCATAAAGTAGCGTGAACGTTAGGAATTATGAAAGCTACATCAATTAAGAATATGGATGTATGCCATTAATGTACTTTTATAAAGTACAATCTTGTGGGGAGGAACGTAGCTCAGTTGTAAAGGTGCTTGTCTTTGCAAGCATGAGGACCGCAGTTTGATCCTCAGAACCCATGTGAAAAACAATTGAGCACTGTCACGTTTTTGGCCAAGACAAGTGGATTTGTAGGGCTCGCTGGCTAGCAATCCCAGCCTAATGTGAGCCCCAGACCTCAGTGACAGGGTCTTTCCACAAAAAAAAAACATTGAGAATAGTTTTTGAAGAAAGAGCCTGCCCCTACATTCACATGTGTGCGTACACACACACACACACACACACACACACAGAGAGAGAGAGAGAGAGAGAGAGAGAGAGAGAGAGAGAGAGAGAGAAACATAGAGAGAGGGTACATGTTTAGTTTTTAAAAAATGCCTTCATCTTGTTCTGTAATCATTTGACTTAATTTCCAAAGGAGCTTGTCAGTGTTACGGCAAATATATTATTTTGTTTATAAGTGTTTTTGAGGGCATTATAAACATTTTTTTTAGACAGGGTTTCTCTGTGTAACCTTGGCAGTCCTGGACTCTTTGTAGACCAGGCTGGCCTTGAACTCACATCAGTTTGCCTGCTTCTGCCTCCCAGAGGGCCAGGATTAAAGATGTGTGCCCCCATGGCCACCTATCTCCTGTCTCTGAATTCAGAAGCCTACATGCCTTTTTTTTTTTAAGATTTATTTTAATGAATTTATTTATTTGTATTCATGTCCATCTGTGTTTGTCTGTGTGAGTGTCTGCAGATGCTCAAAGAGGCCAGAAGTGGGGTCAGATCACTTGGAGCTGGAGTTGCAGGTAGTTGTGAGCCACCTCATGTGGGTGCTTCATGGATCCTTGAAGAGGAGCAAGTGCTCTTAAGCCACCAACCATCTCTCTAACCCCTACATACTTTTCTTTTCCATTAAGAGGCTTATTTCATTTTTATTAAATTTTATTAATTCCTTAAAATCTAAACCATACTGTGTATTATATCCAGATACCAAACTTATATTCTTGCTTCAGATACCCATTTTAACTACCTTTTACTGTTGTTTATTCACTGTATTTCTTTAATTAGAACAAAACTGTCCTTATCTCCTGAAAATCAAATCTTTACATACTGAGTGGCTGTGAGTGTGCATGTCACAGTGCAAGTGTGGAAATCAGAGGACAACTTTGAGAAGCCAGTTCTCTCCAGTCTGGTTTCTGGAGGTTGTCTCAGACTTGGTAGCCAGTGTGTTTACCTGCTGAGTAATATTGTGGACCTTGTGACTTTGCAGTTTTTAAAGCATTTGCTTGAATTGAGATTATGCTTTGTGGTTGTCACCTTGTAATCAAAACCTTGGTTTTCCTTCTACTAAAACCATGTTGCTTTTTCCTTCAGTTCTTTTTGTTGTTTTTGTTTGTTTGTTTTTCAACAACATCTTATGTACCTCAAATTAGCTCCAAACACCCTATGGAGCTGAGGATGATTGTATAGCTTCCACTTTCCAAGTACTGGGATTATAGGCTTGTGCCACAGTCCTCATCTGCTTCCTTTTTATTATTTAATATGTTTATCTATCTGTCTATCTGTCTATTTCGGAGATTCATGGGATGGCATATAAAGATCAGAGAAGAGTTTTGTTTTGCTTTTGTTTTTCTTTTTGAGACAGGGTTTCTCTGTGTAGCCCTGGCTGTCTTGGAACTCATTCTACAGACCAGGCTAGTCTTGTCTCCTGAGTGCTGTGATTAAAGGTGTGCACCACCACTGCCTGGCAGAGGACAGCTTTTAAAACTCCATTCCTCCTCCTGCCGTGTGCTTAACAGGCTCAGTGGCAAGCTCCTTTACATTTTGAGCCATCTCGTGACTCCAGAAAGTGGTTCTCTGACTCCACACTTACACTGTAGCAGAGGTGTGTGAACACACACAATAATAATAACAGTGATTATTTTTATAATTTAAATATATGTGAAATTTTAAACACAGTAAAAAAATAACTCAATGATTTTAATATTGATTACATATTTAAAATTACATTAATGTGTTACTGTATAAGGAAAAACTGTGAGGGGTTTTTTTGTTTGGTTGGTTGGTTTTGGTTTGTTGGTTTGGTTGGTTTTTCGAGACAGGGTTTCTCTGTATAGCTTTGGCCATACATGGTTTGTAGACCAGGCTGGCCTCGAACTCATGGAGATCCACCTGCCTCTTCCTCCCTGAGTGCTGAGATTAAAGGTGTGCTCCACCACTGCCCAGCCAACAACACGCTGTTCTTTGTAGGGACATATATAGTGACTTCTGCTACAAACTGGTGTGGTATATCAATATATTCTCCGATTCACTTGCATTTGGCACCTGACAGTAAGAAGGGATAATTTAGTTGGTTGATTTGTTTTGTTTGTTTTACTTTTTAATTATTTTTTTATAGATATGGGTATTCTGCCTGATTTCATGTCTGCAGTGCCCAAGCAGGCCAGAAGAGGAAGTTGGGTTACCTGGGACTGGGGTTCAGATGGTTGTGGTTGTGAGCTGCCATCTGATCTGGTTGCTGGGACTTGAACCTGGGTTCTCTGGAATAACACCCTACAGTACTTAGCCTCTGAGCCATCTCTCCAGCCCTTATTTTATTTGTTGTTGCATTTTTGTTGTTGTTGTTTCTGTTTTTGTTTTTGTTTTTAAATTTAAGGAAGGATTTCATGTAGCTTAAGCAGGCCTCTAACTCACTAAGTGGCCCAGGATGGCCTTGCATTCCTGATCCTTCTCTCTCCATCTCCCAAGTGCTAGAATTACAGATGTGTGACATTATTGCCAGTAAGATAATTTGAAATTCATTTAATTTCCCTTAAGACAGGTTTCTACACTTAATATCATCTCACATTTGGTGTAGAAGTATTTTTATGAATGACATCTCAAGGCAATAAATTAGAATCCTAAATTGTTCTTTTGATACATATTCTGTCTTTATGATCTGTTTGTTTTTCTGTGTTTTTGTAGGATTTGGGATTGAACCCAGGACCTTAAACATGCCAGACAAGTTCTCTGCCAGAAAGCTAAACTACCACTAACCCTTGCTCTAGTATATTTTTAATTGCTTTATTGAGCAATTATAGTCCAGTTTATAGTTCATACAGTAAAATTTCTATTTAAACTTTTTTTTTATTTCTTCTTTGTGATGCTGTGAATGGAAACTAGGGCCTTGTGTATAGTAGGCAAATTACTCTACCAAGCAAACTACAATTCTAGCCCCAAATATACCTTTGTCATGTGTTCAAGTCTATGGTTTTTAATACAGTCATAGATTTTTGCAAACAACAGTACAACTTCAGAATGTTTCATAAACCTAAAGAAAAACACCCCGTTACAGATCTGTCCCATGCCATCACACCCTGACCCATTCAGACCTAAGCAGCTGTTAATCTACTTCCTTTCTTTATGGATTTACTGATCTTAGACATTCCATCTATATGTAATCATAGTATATGCTACTGAGAATTAAGGATTAATGAAGCTAGTGTTTATGTTTAGTAAGAACCTTGACATGTCATCTCATAGTAAGAGTTATGGCAGTTTGTTTAGCTCAGTATTGTAATAGTAACCATCGTTCTGTCGGTTAAAAATGGAGCTCAGAAAGCTTATATAATTTATCAGAGATCATATGGCAATTAAGTAATAAAACTGGGATTCATATGACTAAAATTTTATGTTTTAACCCTTATTTCTTCCTCTCAATCCCCTGGAGAATGACTGGGTATAGGTAGGATACCAGGGACCTAATCCACTACCTTATCCATGTGACATATAGTTGATTTCAAAGAATAATCACTTGTGTCTTTGCTAGGTTTTTGTTTGATATTTTTAATAAAACATTTAAATATTTAGTGTGGTTCATTGCATTAGCTTTGTGGATGATGTAATATTTTTAAATAGATAACACTATGCCTAAGTAGCTTACCAAATTATACAGAGATCAAACTGCTCAAAAGATGGATGTCCACCTACTAGGATAGGTTTAAGGGAGTGCTGCAGAGTTTGCTTTTTTCTCTACCGTATGGTCTACGTAAAATTGTTTGTTAGAAGTCATGGTTTTTCATATTTGTAGAGATCCCCAAATTGAATGTTTTCCACGTATTAGTATCATGCATGGACAATACACTTTCTAGTGGCAACATATCTTTGATTTCTTTTCTCCTGTAGGGTTCTGTAGCTATAGCTGGTGCTGTAATCCGCTGGCTAAGAGACAACCTTGGAATTATCCAGTCCTCTGAGGAAATTGGTGAGTATGTTTCAGTAAAGAGTTAAAATGTCTAAAGAAAGCCAGGCAGTATGATGCAGGCCTTTGATCCCAATACTCAGAAGGCAGAAGTTTGATCTCTGAATTCCAGGTCAGCCTAGTCTACATTGCAAGTTCCAGGCTAGCCACAGTTACATAGTGAGTCTCAGTTTCAAGAGGAAAATCTCTAAAGAATAAAAAGTTAATACTTTGTCCCTGCAATCTATATTTACTTTGCCACTAACTTGAACTATGAATGATGTGCACCTGTCATGTAACTTTGATTTTTCCAGAAAGACTTTTATGAAGATTTCATAATTTGTAGTATTAATAAACTGGTAAAATAAGGGCATAAAAATTACCCATGTGTAAAATTGAACACCAGTAAGTGCCTGGAATCTGCAGGTAAAGTAGTGTAATTAACATTTATCTGATGAAAAAGAGCTTTAACGTCTGAATTACAATGAGCATTAAAACTCTAGTATCTATAAATTAAGTATTAATATGGCTGTATTCAGTCTGTGGGTAATTGGTTTGAACTCAGGTATTAACATTTTCATCTACTTTGTTTAACTTTACCTAAAGCTAAGACTATCAGAAATGCATTTCTGGTTAGGCAGGGGAGAGGCCACCTCGTTTCCTAGTCAAGAAATATAAAAATTACAGGAATAGGGCTGGGGAGATTGTTCAGTAGGTTAAATGTTTGCAGTGCGAACACAAGGATCTGAGTTTGATCCCCAGAATGTACATTCAAACAAACAACAAAACCCAAATGTAGTAGCTTCCATGTATAACCCCAAGGCTGGGAAGTTGCAGACAAGTCGATCCTTGGGGCTGGCTAGCTCATTAGGTTAGTCCTTATGCATGTTCTATGCCAGTGAGGGACATTGTCTTCATGAACAAGATAGATATCTCCAGAGGAACAACCCCCAGGGCTAACCTCTGGCCTTACATGCATGCACACCCTCACCATGTGCACACATACAACACACATGGAAATGAACTAAAATATATAAAGGAAGTGAATCCTTCCTTTATATAGGGGGCCATTCAGTGTAGGGGAAATGTTCTTGTTGCTTTTAGCATTCTACTCTAATTAGTAATATTTTGCTACAAATGAACCAGAAGTGAAAAATCCTGATCTAAATTTTAAAGTATATTTAACAAAGCAAAGTATTGGTTTGATTTTTTTCTTTCTCTCTTTTTTTTTTAATACTAGAAAAACTTGCTAAAGAAGTAGGTACTTCTTATGGCTGCTACTTTGTTCCAGCATTTTCAGGGTTATATGCACCTTATTGGGAGCCCAGCGCAAGAGGGTATGTATTCTATAGTTACAAGTAATTTACTACATATTTTAAAACAACCAGAAAAGAGGATATTGAATGTTTCAATTTCAAAAATAAAATAAATAAATGCATAAGGTGACAGACATGCCTCACTGCACATTATATACATGTCTCTAACATCACGCAGCACTTCATTAGTATATATAATCATTAAGCATTAATTGAAAATTAAATGATAAAAGACATAAAAGTAGAAGGGAGGCTAATTGGGAAGAGAAGGGATTATTAGAAGTGAGAGAATAATGGGCTGAATATGTTCAAAGCATTATGTAGACATAAAATGTCGTAATGAATTGCATTAGATTTAACTAATATATGCTAATAAAAATTAAGAACAGTAATGGAAGGGGAATAGCACTGACAATATTGTTTATGTTGGGGGATCCTGGGAATTTACTAAATTAGTTAATATTTTTTCTGTCTTTTATGTGCACATTGTAGACCAACATTGTCATATAAATGAATGTGATTTGGTTTTCTGTTAATCATCTGTTCTGTCAGATCACAAATACTATAGATATAGTGATATGAACTATAAGGACATTCTGCACTATTCAATGAATATAACCAGTTTTCTTTTCTGCCTACATTCCTGTCTATTGAATTCACTGTTTATATATTTGGGACATAAGATCAGTGGTTTAATCTTTGGACTGAGGTGTGGCTTAGTGGAAGAATACTCATTTAAGTAAGCGTCTCTATGCCTATAGATTATTGAAGTTCTCAGTCTTTATCAGAGAAAAGGCCCACAGTTAGTCAAACTGCAGAAAGGAAGTGTCAGTAAAGTGGTCAGTTATAAATGGGATATCTACACTACCTTCTTAAAGAGTGAGGATAAGAGAGAGGACAAAAAAACTGTAAGAGCCAGGGATTGGCAAGGGAAAAAAAATCAATGGCCTATTTATACCATTCTAGTCTGAAAATTTTTGTGTGTATTTTTAGGATCATCTGTGGACTTACTCAGTTCACCAATAAATGTCATATCGCTTTTGCTGCATTAGAAGCTGTTTGTTTCCAAACTCGAGAGGTAATGAATACAGGTCTATTTTTCTTGTGCTTGATCCGTTTTTTATTACTCTTAAATTAAATATTAATTATATGTTTATGCCTAAAATTTATCAAATACCTAAGATGTTCCCAATTGAAAAATGTAGTCTGCATAAACATTATTGTAAATACAAGTGTGCCATCTCTCTCCTGCCAACTATCATTATCTTGTAAGTGCCTTTATCACCAACCACTGGATAATTTATGTGGGAGAGAAGACTCGGTAGTAGAGTAATACATAGAGTAGTAAATATTAGGCAGAGAAAAGACCACAAAAGTTAGGCATCAGGACAGGAAATGAAGATGCAAGATAGAATTTCGTAACTTACTGAATAGCAGTATGAGTACAGAAGTATGAATCCAGAAAAGATTGATTACAACCAGATCAAGGAGGGCTTACAAGAAAAGAATAAGATGTCTCAATGTCATTCTTCAGGGTTTGAGAAATGCTTTCAGTTTTGTGTATGAAGGGTTGCCATTTTTAGACATGTTGCTGTGGAGTAGTTTCATAATGTTAATTGCATTGGTTTCTTTAAGATTTTGGATGCCATGAACCGCGACTGTGGAATCCCCCTCAGTCATTTGCAGGTAGATGGAGGAATGACAAGCAATAAAATTCTTATGCAGCTCCAAGCAGACATTCTGTATATTCCAGTAGGTTAGTAACCTTTTACTCCTTAAACCCAGAAGTAATACTGCTGGTTTGGGAAGAACTGACCTTCAGGCATACATAACTACAAAATTGTTGACTTAGTTCTTTCTTCTCAGTGAAACCCTCCATGCCTGAAACAACTGCTCTAGGAGCTGCCATGGCAGCTGGGGCAGCAGAGGGGGTTGGTGTTTGGAGTCTCGAACCTGAGGATTTGTCAGCTGTCACAATGGAACGGTTTGAACCTCAGATCAACGCTGAAGGTATAGTTAAAGAAAAATATTTAAACAATGAAAATGAGTAACCAAACTTTGGGTAGAGTGCAGAAAATCTTATGAAAGAAAGGGGAGATAGAAAGACATGAAGGAGACAGGAGCTCCACAAGGAGAGTAACATAACCAAAAAATCTGGGCAAAAAATCTTTTCTGAGATTGATACTCCAAAGACCATGCATGAAGATAACCTAGAACCCCTGCTCAAATGGAGCCCATATCAGCTCTGTATCCAAGTAACACACTAGTAAAAGGAACAGGGACTGTCTCTGACATGAATCCAGTGGCTAATTCTTTGACCACCTCCCCCAGGGAAAGCAGCCTTATCAGGCCACAGAGAAAGACAATGCAGCCAGTCCCAGTTTCAATGAAACCTGATAGGGTATGGTCAGAGGGAAGTGGAGGAGGACCTCCCCTATCAGTGGACTTGGAGAGGGGCATGGGAGGAGATGAGGGAGAGAAGGTGGGACTGGGAGGGAATGAGGGAAGCAGCTACAGCTAGGATACAAAGTGAATAAATTGTAATTAATATAAAAAAGAAAATTAAAATAAAAAAGAATAAGTAAAAAAAATTTAAATTTTTAAATGATTTGTTACGTTATGGAGCAAAATAATTTGGCTGCTAAGCATATTGGTTTTTGCTGAGCAAGAATGAATGAGGGAAATGGGTCCCATCTATACTGTTCAGGAGAATAACACTGCCACTTTTTCAATTACAACTTGTCAGCCTAGGGTGTTTGTTTGTTTGTTTGTTTGTTTGTAAAAGTAACTTTTATTTGCCTGATATAGTTGTCATTTCTGAGGCTTACTGCCTCTATCTGCTAACCTGGGCCTAGTCCTGGAAGCTTTTAGCCTCCGTACAATCTAGAATGTTTTCAACCTCTAAGACTTACTGATAAATAAGCTCACTCTTTCTTCTTTCTGAACTCTGGCTGGCGGGGTCAACTCAGCTGTTTTGGCTCAAACTCCTCTCCAAGCTGACTGATTCAATCTGGCTTCTCTCAGTTTTTCACTGAATAGTTCTACTTGGCCTGAAACTAACTCTAGCAATCTGTTTTAATTTGGTTCCTTCTCATTCTCTGGCTCTTTCTGTCTTTACCTGTGTCTAGCTTCTTCTCTTTTCAACCTGTCTCTGTAAACTGTCCTGATAAAACTGCTTCTGAACTGCCATGACTTCAACTCCACTTCACTGTCTCTCTACTCAATGGCTCAGCCGAACTGACTGAACAGAACTGACTAGAATTCAGATCTGCATGCTTTTGTCTCCTAAGTGCTGGGATTAAAGGCCTGTACCACCATACCTGGATCTAAGCTTTTCTTTACTTGCTCTATACCAGGCTGGCCCCGAACTCAGAGATCTGTTTGCTTCTGTCTCCTGGGATTAAAGGCGTGTCTGTATTCCAGCTGGATCACAGGGACCTAAAACGTCTTTGGATTTGATCTCTTGCCAGGGCAGCCAGCCTACATTTCTTTGTTTTAAATGAAAAAGAGAAGCCAGACAGTGTGTCCACTCACCTTTAATCCCAGTACTCAGGAAACAGAGGCTGGCAGATTTTTTTTGTGAGTTTGAGCCCAGATTTGTCTACACAGCAAATTCTAGGCCAGCCAGGCCTACACAATGAAACACTGTCTCAGAAAAAAAAAAGCATAAAGTGAGAATGGGGATATACTCACTTAAGTAGTCTGATGCAGTATTCTGCATCTATTCTGGGGCAGCATCATTGCTCATTTTTATGTACTTTTTAAAATTTTTTTCACCTTTAAAATCCCCACTGTAAGATGTTGGTGAAGAGGCAGTTATGATTTGAATCTTGTGAGCAATCATTATTTGCTGATTCCTTCAACTGGACCAAAATTAATTCTGTTTTTTCCACAGGATACTTCACCTCTCTCCCTATGTCACTCCCAGCACTCACCAAAAGAGAAAACAAATCAAATAGGATTTTCCTTTGGAATCACCCCTGTTTCGTAAGCAGATAGCCTGTCCTCCAATCTCCCCTAGGCATTAAAATTTCTCCCAACTTCCAAGTATCTCATCCACTCACTACCAATCACCACCAGACATGTACTTTGTTCCAGTAAACCCTCACTTGATTTAATGTGTGCAGCAATATGTTAGGAATGCGGAGTGATCAGTCATAACTATTGTGCTTTGGCCACCTCAACAAATTACATCTCATGCTTATGTTTTTCCTAATTTTAATTCTAGAAAGTGAAATCCGTTACTCCACATGGAAGAAAGCTGTGATGAAGTCAATTGGTTGGGTTACAACTCAGTCTCCAGATAGTGGTAAATTGTTTTTATTAACTATTATTGAGACTTTTTACTTTATAATGGACATTTTTCCTTAGAGTATTATGTTATTTAAGTGTATGGCTGTTTATATACTAAGTCAGGCTGCTCTGAAGAAAAGAATTATTCTATATCTAAAGTTTGTCACATTTTGAAAACTCTTCTAACCACAAAGTGTAAATTACAGGTTAATAAGTATGCATTCACTTTAGCCTGCCATATCATTCCTTGTTGATTTATTTCTGGCATGTCAATGAATAACTGAATTTTCAAAAAGTGAAATTATTATTTCTGGTTCCTTAATGAAAAAAATCAACTAGACTCTTATTTTCCCTTTCCCTGATCATGTCTACATTTTGGGAGGCTTTCTTTATCAGTGGAAGCAATTAAGAGGTGTATTACCTTCCAAATTTTATTCCAGACATTATAGAAAGTATTCAGGCTAGTAAACCGTGATGCAATGTTAATAAAACCAGAGAGGAGGAAGTAAATTATGTGTGTGTGTGTGTGTATATATATATATATATATATATATATATATAAAGTTGGAAGTTTTAAAATTGAGAAATGCCGTTAGCATAAAATAAGAGCAATTTTATTTTTTAAGTCACTTAGACAGGAAAGTATTCATGTTTAGTAATTTAAATAACTGCAGGCTGCATTTGATGACACAGTATTATAGTCCTTATCAAAATTCAATATGGAGTAGAATGAATGGCACACTTTATTGAGGAAGAGTTTATAAATGAAGTATTATCTGACTTTCAAGCCTACAGTGAGTATAGAGCCACTGTTAATGCATGTGGCTTTAGGAGACATTTCTACTTCACTGCACTCCATATTTTTAACTAGGAACACCCTGGGTGTACCTAATTAAAATTGTACCTTTTTTCCTCTTAAGAAAATTTAATATATTTTTGGTTTTGAGACTGAGCTTCTTATTTTTTCTTTATAAAAAATATTTGTTGAATTTCATGCATACCCTAGGCACCAACTTTTTCTTAGATGGTGGATTAATTTATTTTTGCTATGACTGCAATGTTGAGACCCTTGGCAATAACACTTCTCAGTCATAAATACTACTCTTCTAGCCCACTCTTGAGCAGAACAAATGTGGACTCTGATTTCTTTGCTTATTCCCCTAAATTATTGTAATGTGAAGTTGGGTATATAATTACTTTGACTAGCTGAATTTTTTTTTTGTTATTGTTAATGCTACAATCCTGGCTTCTGTCCTCCCCCACACATTACTCTTTATTATCCCTTAAAGGTATAATGTTAACATCAAAATTTCCACAAAAGAAATTGAGTATTTTCCGTTTTTGTTCCTTATTTTCAATGAATTTACAATACTTGAAAAATGGTAAAAGAAAGCAAAAATTAAATTTCTTTCATTAATTTTTCTTTCCTTGTTTGTACATGGTCTCACCTAGCCCAAGCTGGCCATGAACTTACCTTGTAGAAGCTTGAACTTCTGAACTTGTTGCCCCCACCTCTGCTGGGATTACAGATAAATGCCATTATGCCCAACTTTAAATTTTTATGTCTTTTTATTTTCTGCTACCAGCATCAATAGTAAAGGTAACTTCATTTGTTGATAATTTAATTTTTTTTTAAATCCTAAAAATTGACCATAGGGTCACACATACTAGACAAGTGCCATATCCCAGTTCTCCCTTATTTCTTATTTATTTTTATTTGTTTTTATTAAAAGTTAGCTTACAGAATAATGAGTTTCATTAAGTCCCACCATCTTTTTGCTTTTTATCTTGAGGTAGGGCTTCATTCAGTTGCTCAGGATGCCCTTGAACTCACTCTGTAGTCCAGCCAGTCCATGAAATTACTGATTATCCTGACCTATACTCCCAGGTAGCCAGTATTAAGATCTACACTGCCAAATCCATCTCTTAATTTTATTCTTGTTAAAGTTAAACCATTTTAATAGCTGTATAAAAACACTTAAATGTGTAGTGACCAGGGGGATCTCTATGCTGTACAATTAACTCAGAATAATATTTAAGTTTTGCTAAATATATTCTTTTAAAAATTATAAACTATTATATAATGACAGTTTATATTCTATGTAGGCATCTAATAATAGCAATTCAGATAGAGCCTTAACCTAAGAAAACCAAAAAGACATTGGAATTATTGACTTGAAACTTATTCTCTTTAATTTAATTAATGGAAAAATGTTATATCACTTAATTTCCAAAGGACCTTGGCAGTGTTGAAGCAAACATTTTGTTTATAAATATATCTGAGTACATTAGGAACATTTTTAACTATAGTAAATTTGATTAACTATAAAGCTAATATGTGAATTATATAAACACATGTATTAATATGTTATAGGTGATATTAAGAGATAATGTTTTTATTTTTACATTTTAAAATACTAATTATAATGAGATATACACCAGGCTGACCTTGAACTCACAGAGATCTGCCTGCCTCTTTCACCAGGTTCTGGAATTAAAAGTATACAGCACCACAACCAGCAATTATTTCTGTCTTTGAGACAGTATCTTACTGTATAGCCCAGGGTAGCCTGAGATTCATGTATGATCCTCCTGCCTCAGCTTCCAGACTTCTGATATTATAGATGTGAGCCACCATGACTAGCCTAGGAGTTTGATGCTTTTTAAAGCATCATGACTTGGCTTTGTATTTACAACATACTAAACACTTTAAAAATAGTTCAAATTGTTTCAAATGTATTGCACAGTATACAATAACTTTATAAAATTCATTATATGTAAGTATATGAATACCTATACAACATATATGTGTGACCATCTCACTAGAAAAGAAATAGCTTTATCAAATGGGTACCATCTAAATTGATAGGAGTTCCATAGATATTCCTTTTGTTATTATTTTTACTTTTGTTCTTCCTTTTGAAACAGGGTTTTATATAGTTCAGGTTGGCCTCAAATCCACTGTGTAGTAAAGGATGACCATGAAGTTCTAGAAATTCTGCCTCTATCTCTACCACCTGGTTTTTGTGGTGCTGGGGGATTGAACTTTTTAGCTTTGTGCATGCTAGAGAAGCGTTTTACATACATAGTCACAATCCTTACATCTTTTCACACCAGAACTCACTCTAAGGACATCAGAAAAATCAGTACTAAGTTACAACTGATGGCTTTCTTTAAAAGAACTAGACATTTTCTTTTCTAAAATCAAACAAAGACATGGTTTCTACAAACACCAAAATAAAATTTGTTTTGCACTTAAAAAAGTAACAGTGACAGAACAGGGGAAATAGTTTATTGAACTTCTTATTGAAAATTCAGTTTCTAAGGGGGAAAGCTATACATGGTAAGAGGAAGAAAATTCTCCTCCAAAATAGAAACAACTATCTGTAGACTACATAGCATAAAATATGCCCAGGAGAATCCTTATCTGGAGTATTTGAATGATGCCCTGTAAAATGGCTGTACTTTCATAATACTTGGGCATTACTTTCATTATTTATATTCTAGGGTATAGAAGTATAGCTAGAAAGCTCTAAGTTTAATATTTAACAACCCAATATGTGCTAAATAATTTAGATACATTTTGTGTAGAGGAGTGTGAATGTGCGTGCACATGTATGTGTATAGGTCAAAGAGAACCATTTTTTTTTCTCTTACCACCTTTACATGGGTTTTGGGAATGCGACTCTGGTTGCCAGATTTGCACAGAAAGCACATCTACCCATGAGCCATTTTCCTAGCCCATGGGTACATAATCTTTAAATTTAAAGGAAGGCTATATGTAATGCATATACTTAAAAACAAAGGATTCCAGTAATCAATAAGGAGTCCAGTAATTAATAAAATTTAGTCTTGTTATACCTTTTAGTTTTAGCAGTGTTTGATATTTATTTCATTATACACCAAAGTTTATTTTGACACAGAAGACCAAATCAGTGCTTAAAACAAAAAAGACCTGAATGAGGAAAAGGGATATATAGGGAGAAGGGACTAGTAATAGGGATAGGAGGGAGATCAGAGAGGTTATAGTGATTATAATACACTTCATGTATTTATAGACTTGTCACAGAACAAATTCAGGAAAAATTATATGTTTTAAACGCATCTAAAGTAGATTAATAAAAGCTTTTTAATATATTCTTGGGTGAATTGCATTGCTCATTTAATTATCATTGGGAGAAGAGTATAGAAAGCCCAAACCAATAGCCTCCCAAAAAGCTCTCCATAGGCTCTCCGGCTCTGCCAGTGGAAAGCTGATGTTGGGCTCTGTGTGTTACATTCTTGGCTACTTGTGGCATGCTCTCTGTATTGTTTATTAACTTTCATTAGCCTTGATATTGATTATATTTTTGATTTGAAGTAATAACTCTTTGCTAGCTTTTATGAATATGCTATTTGTATAACTTGTTTTGCTATCATATGATTCTTAACATAAATATTGTAATTATGTGTTTCTCTTTGGGTTTGCTTGACTGGAATTCCCTTCTACTTGGATGACCACAGGTGACCCTAGTATCTTCTGTAGTCTGCCTTTGGGCTTTTTTATAGTGAGTAGCATGGTAATGTTAATCGGTGCAAGGTACATCTCAGGTTAGTTACTCTTTAAATTAGACAACTTGTATTAGTTAGTTTTAATGTGTTTATTTATAACTCAGTTTTTTATTCTTCCTATGTTTAAAAACCCAGAAAATCAATTGGAGGCCTAAATAGTTCTATTGATTCATCTTTGGGGACAGTTAAAATTAAGGATTATGTCATCAGATGATTTCTTTGAAGGTCTCCATGCTGTTGTCAGCAATAAGCAAAAGTAAAAAGTACAAATGTTAATTTTTAACTGAAAGAAATTTCAAAATGACTGATGAAAGTTACAGTGTAATTTTGACATTAACTATCTTGGTTTTAAATATGTATAATTTTCTGAGACTTTCGAAAATGTTCCCAGTATGTCTTACTAGATCCATTCTTGCATGAGTTTTGGCTAGATCTTGTTAGCTTGTAAAACTTTCTAAAACTGGGAAAGATATGCATTCACTTTATTTTTAGTAAAAAAGAAAATATTTTGTGAAGTCTCTTAAATTATTAAATAAATTCAGGTTGAAATAAAATGTAAATATTCTTTGCACATTAGCTTCTACCGAGTATTCAAATAAAAGTAATGGCTTAGCATGTTATGAAATGCATAGCATTGTCAGTACTAATTTGAACATAATTGCTAGTTTGTAGGTACTTCTGATGATTCTTCAATTTTTCTTCAGATTTTTACCTTAAATGGTAAAATAATACATAAATACTTGTTTCTTGTTCCATAGTTTCCATGAAAATGAAACATGCTTTTATTTTTCAAGCTTTATATTTAGAGGAAAAGCTAGATTAATTCTTGTGTTTAGTATGGTGATGTACAACCTTAGTTTAAGATATAAAATTTAAACTTCATTCTTGTGAAGAAACATCTGTTTGTAGAAGGTTGACAAGCTTTTCTTTAAGTTGGCATCATCAGTGTAATGTCATATATAAATATGAAACTTTTATCATTAGAACATTAAATTATATTTTAAGTATCAAGAAACTGAGTTATTTACATAAGAATTTATACTTAAATTGTCGTGCCTTTTCCTGTATTCTTCATATTCAAGCATACTCAGAATACATTTTTTTAATCAACTACTTCTGTACTAACAATACCTTATTTTGGTATTGTCACTAATACACTAAAAGCTCTGTCTACAAAAGCATAATGAATTATCAGATATTTATTCTCTGTTTCTGAGAAATGTTTGCCAGAAAACGCTAAACATTTCCATGAGAACTTAAATTTTAACTTTACAAAGATACTGTTTCAGAAAATATTCCATTACTTTTTCATTATCCTGAGTATTTTTGTATACGATGATGACCTACAAAAGATAAAGAAAAAAACTCATAGCTGAAAACTTTCATTGATTTTGTTGTTTTCTGTTTCTCTTTTGATACTATAATAGGATGAAAAATCCCATACTCTATGGAAACTGAGATCTAGTATGTCTCTATGCTAAATGATATATTAAATATCAAAAGTAGTAGACTTCAGGTCACCATCTTCAGGCTTTCTTTTTTGGTTACACCTACTGAGATTCAGTAATAGTAGCCACTGTTTGCCTTAATAAGCAGTTATCAATAGTGGTAATAGTTGCTAATTTTGGAGTTGGCCCAGTTACATTTGTTGCTCTTTAACTCTGAAGCATTATATAGAAATAATGGAATTTGTTATATAGAAATTATGGAATTTGTAGCTTAAATATTTGATAGTCTTTATTGTCTTAACTCCTGAAATGCACATATGTCTTATTGACTTTTATAATTTTTGTACCCCTTTAGGTATCCCATAAATATCACTTCATGGATTCCCAAGATGCAAACTTTTAAGGAAATCTGACAATTCTGTCTCATAATGTAATGATGCTAATCATAGACTCTTGATTTTTTCATAAGCCACTTGCTGCATGATCCTCCAAGTAGACCTATGCCTTGAAATAAAGAAAATGCAGCAGAAAGAATGTTCCAGAAACATTTAGTGTAGTTGTTTAACATTGACAGTTAAGGTTGGGCCAGCTACCTTTGGGGCTGACCCCTCCACTATTATGATGTCCTACACTATTCCGTCTAAGGTTAAGGATGAATTTGTATCCTGTCTATTGACGTATGCCATCCAGTATTTCCAGATGCTCGTGGACCTGGATTTGATCCTCTGCACGACAAATGTCTGAGGAAGGAGTTGTTACTAACTTCTTCAAAATGAGTGGCCTTTTGCTTGTGTGCTTAAAACAGATCAGATGTCTACTTTTCTACATTTTGGAAGACCACAACATCACTGACTATTTCAATGGACACATCTGAGGAATTAATAGATAGTGATTTGCTTTTCTCATAACTTGGACTTTCTGAACAGTGTTTGCCAAAACTGAAAATTTTCAGGTGTTTTACACTGTCTCACTAATTAGCATGGCTTTCTGTCTGTACCTTATAGGATAGAATACTTTTTTCCTTTTTTTTTTCATTTCTCCTTTTTATATTTTTTATTCTGTATGTATAACATACATGCCTATATATTTTATATACTGACGGTAGCCCATTTATAAATTAAGAGCACATTATATTCAGTAAATTATAACAGGGCTGGTCTTAAGTGGACTACTATGTATATAAATTTGGGGGGAAATCTGTATACATTTTTGGGCAACGGTTATGCATATTATTTACCAGAAGAAAACTTTTCTTATACAGTCCAACATTTGAAATTTAGGTATATATTCAGTATCAATTAAATAAATTATACTATATTGTGATTTCAACGGTATTTCTTATGCTCTGCCATTTAATTATCTCAGCTGGAAGAAAATCAACTGCAGCATGTAACAGTAAATACTGTTCTCAAACAGGAGTACTAGCCCAAATAAAAATTTTTCTTTGAATTGATGTTTCCATATTTGAGATCGTATTGAGGAATTGTCATAAATGCAAAAGCTAAGTAGAAAAATGTGTGAATAAAGCCAATAATCTCTTTCAAATGTTATTACATGTTAATAAGATATTCTTATTTTTCTGATATGATAGAAAATTATCCCTACTTAATGTTATAACTGGCAAAAAATTGTTATTACAAATGCCTCACAGTGAAACCAATAATTTCTCAACTATTTAGAATTATTTGTTATAACTCATTAGCCTAGCTTCCTGACATCAGATTTTAAAAATATATTTGTTTTGTAGTAAAGAAATAAGAGAATAATACTTCCTAATTATTTGTCTTATTATATCCGAATGGAAAATATTGATATATTAATAGAAAAACTTTCATTTGGAATTAATGGTAGATTATATTTCCTGTTCTGATTGTGCTGTTCCTAATTATTGAATGCTGGTTTTTATTGATCTGGCTGCTACTTAAATGGCATAAATAATGAAGGTACTGTGAAATTATTATGGCAGTGGTAATTTTAAAGTTAGTTATATTTCTACAAAGGCAGGTTATATTTCTACAAAGGCAGGTTAAGTTCATTGTAAATAACTGTGTAAATCACTGTTCCAGTAATTTTAAGATAACATTAATTTTTCTACAAAATACAAGATTTATAAATGTTTGAAATTACACCCATCGATAATTAATGGTGAATTTATTTAAAGTAAGTTGACACCTTATTTCGTATTTGCATTTCTCATTTACAGATGAAAGTTCAGTTAACAGAGATGTTTCAGCAGACACAAATGCCACCTTTTAGCGCTTGTTTACATGCACTGAGGAGCTAAGTAACTGCAGAAGTAGTTTCAGGAATGATAAACACCTTAATCACTCTGTTAGAACAGACTAAACAGTTTCTACCTCAGCATTTCCAGAAAATACATTGTCAAGGCCAATGGCCATTATCAGTAAAATATCACCTGGCTGAGACCTATATATCTGTAGGCTTCATCCCTTACCTCAGCTTCTGTCTGCTTGGTTTAGCCAGTGAGGTCTGGACACCATTGTACGTTCATCCTGATGTCAATATCTCTATATTTTGTTCTCCCATTGATCGATAAAATAAATCATGCATTAATGCTTCTTCATTGGTATCCTTTATTTTTATTTATTTATTTGTTTGTTTTGAGGCAGGGTCTTGATATATAGCCCTTCCTGTCCAGCAACTCACTATACCAACCTGGCCTTAAATTCCCAGAGATCTGCCTGCCTCTGTCTCTTCCAACTGTGGGATCAAAGGCATGTACCACCATGCCCAGAACTTCAAGTCTTTTAAAATTTTTCTTGTGGAGTATTAAAATTAAGTAGCTTTAAATTTTTTTTCTGTCTCTGTCTTTCTTTCTCTGACCCCTCTTTTGGTGTGGTTGTTTGTGTTTGATTTGTTGATCTCCTGCTTTAGCCTCCTGAGTGTACCACCATATCAGTCTTTATTAAACACTATTATACATTATTAAACATGATCTTATTGGTTTTTAACACTTACACTATTCACTCACCAGTAAATTTTGTTAATGCAAAACCTTTTTTGAATTTATTTTTATTTTATCTGCATTGATGTGTTTGCCTGCATGTATGTCTGTGTGAGGTTGTCAGATCTTGAAGTTACAGACAGTTGTGAACTACCATGTGGGTTCTGGGAATTGAACCTGGATCCTCTGGAAGAACAGTGAATTCTCTTAAGTGCTGAGCCATCTCTCTAACCAATGTAAAATATTTAAATTACCAAAACACAAATGAAAAAGGAGGTTGGTTGAGTAAACTATAATAAAATCACAAATATGTGTTACCTTTGGAAGAAAGTGAGGACACTGTCTAGAAACCAATGGAAACATTTAGAATGAGTAGAAAAGCGAGTTACAGACTTCTTTTTTTATAATTTTTATTAATTACACTTCATTCACTTTGTATCCCCCTGTGAACACCTCCCTCCTCCCCTGCCAGTCCCATCCTCCCTCCCCAAGTCCACTGATAAGGGAGGTTTCCTCTGCTTCCTTCTGATCCTAGTCTATCAGGTCTCATCAGGACCGACTGCATTGTCGTCTTCTGTGATCTGGTAAGGCTGCTCCCGCCTCAGGGTGAGGTGATCAAAGAGCAGGCCAATCAGTTCATGTCAGAGACAGTCCCTGTTCCCATTGCTATGGAACCCACTTGAACACTGAACTGTCATGGGCTATGTCTGTGCAGGGATTCTAGGTTATCTCCATCAATGGTCCTTGGTTGGAGTATCAGTCTCAGGAAAGACCCTTGGTTCTGTTGCTTTCCTTGTGGAGTTCCTGCCCTATTCAGGTTTTACTATTTCCCACTTCTTTCATAAGATTCCCTGCATTCTGCTCAAAGGTTGGCCATAAGTCTCAGCATCTGCTTTGATACCCTACAGGGTAGAGCCTTTCAGAGGCCCTCTGTGGTAGGCTCCTGTCCTGTTCCCCTTTTTCCTCTTCTTCTGATGTTCATTCTCTTAGCCTTTCTGAATGGGATTGAGCATTTTAGCCAGAATCCACTTCCTTGATTAGTTTCTTAAGGTGTACAGATTTTAGTAGGTTTATCCTATATTATATGTCTAATATCCACTTATGAGTGAGTATATACCGTGTGTCTTTCTGCTTCTGGGATACCTCACTCGGGATGAGTTTTTCCAGTTCCCACCATTTACCTGCAAATTTCATGATTTCCTTGTTTTTTTGTTTTTTGTTTTTTGTTTTTTTTTTATTGCTGAGTAATATTCCATTGTGTAGATGTACCATAATTTCTGTATCCATACCTTAGTTGAGGGGCATGGAAATAAATCTGGCACTTTCACAGACAATTAGGAATAGCACTTCCTCCAGATCCAGCTATACTACTCCTAGGCATATATCCAAAAGATGCTCAAGTACACAATAAGGACATTTGCTCAACCATGTTTGTAGCAGCTTTATTCGTAATAGCCAGAACCTGGGAACAACCCACAAGCCACTCTTCTTTTAAATAAAAGGTAGCATTGTAACTTATGAACAGGTAAGGATTTCATTGAAGAAAGCATTTTATTATCTTTTGTGTTACTTAAAATTGCAAACACTTAGCATTTTTTCTAAGTACATATTAATGTATATAGGTTGCTTGCATTTATTTTTAATTAAATTTTTATTTTTATATTAATTATAGTTTATTTACTTTGTATCCCAGCTGTAGCCCCTTCCTTCATTCCCTCCCAATTCCACCCTCCCTCCCTCGTCTCCTCCCTGCCCCTCTCTAAGTCCACTGATGGAGGAGGTCCTCCTCCCCTTCCATCTGATCCTAGTTTCTCAGGTCTCTTCATGACTGGCTGCAATGTCCTACTCTGTGGCCTAGCAAGGCTGCTCCTCCCTTGGACGGGGGGTCAGAGGTCAAAGAGCCAGCCACTGAGTTCCTGTCAGAGACAGTCCCTGTTCTCCTAACTAGGAAACCCACTTGGATACTGAGCTGCCATGGGCTCCATCTGAGCAGGGATTCTACGTTCTATCCATGCATGGTCCTTGGATGGAGAATCAGTTTCAGAAAAGACCCCTGTACCCAGATATATTTGGTCCTTGTGGAGCTCCTGTCCTTCAAGTCATACTAACTCCCCCTTCTTTCATATGATTCCCTGAACTCTGCTGAAGGTTTGGTTATTAGTCTCAGCATCTGCTTTGATATACTGCTAGGTAGAGTCTTTCAGAGGCCCTCTGTGGTAAGCTCCTGTCCTGTTTCTTGTTTTCTCCTACTTCCAATGTCCATCCCATTTTTCTTTCTAAGTGAAGATTGATCATCTTACCCCGGGTCCTCTTTATTGTTTATCTTCTTTAGGAGTACAGATTTTAGTATGTTTATCCTCTTATAGGTCTAGTATCCACTTATAAGTGAGTATATACCATGTGTGTCTTTCTGCTTCTGGGATGCTTTGGAGATCTGGCTGTGACATCTGTCACCCCATTGATCGCCAGGGTTGTTTCGGCTGATCTGGCTGGCTAGGCTGGTGTCCCCTTCTCCCTCACTGCTCCTTGTGCATCTCTCTGGAAGCTGTGTGCTTGGTCGAAGAGGACGACTGTCTGAATAAGAGGAGGACCGGTCTTCAGGTAGCTGCAATCCCCTGCTAGAGCCTCCAAACAAGCTTGTGTTTATTTTAAGCTAATAACGACAGCCTATAATTACAGATTTATATCAGGAACTACAAATATTAACTAAAATTTTTGGTTATTCCTTCCAAAAACCTTAGATAATAGAAGTAAAAGTTCTGCTTAACTGGAAGCTGGACTGAAGAACATGTACTGCTTTTGCAAAGGGCCCAAGTTCACTTCCCAACACCCACATTGAGTGGTCCACAGTTGCTTGTAATTCTAGCTCCAAGAGATCTTATGTGCTCTTATGGCCACCACAGACATCTGCACTCACATGCACCATCAGACACAAACACATAATTGAAAATTAAAAAAAAAATCCTGTTTTCTTCTTCTGATGTCTCCATCCTCTTTTCCTTTCGGGATGGGGATTGAGCATTTTAGTCAGGGTCCTCTCTCTTGATTAGTTTCTTTAGATGTACAGATTTTAGTAGGTTTATCCTATATTACGTGTCTATATGAGCGAGTATATACTGTGTGTGTCTTTCTGCTTCTGGGACAGCTCACGCAGGATGATCCTTTCCAGGTCCCACCATTTACCTGCAAATTTCATGATTTCCTTATTTTTCATTGCTGAGTAATACTCCATTGTGTAGATGTACCACAATTTCTGCATCCATTCTTCAGTTGAGGGGCATCTGGGCTGTTTCCAGCTTCTGGCCATTACAAACAAAGCTGCTACAAACATGGTTGAAGAAAACAGGAAACAAACTAGGAACCTGCCACAGAGGGCCTCTGAAAGGCTCTTCCCTGAAGACTATCAAAGCAGATGCTGAGACTTATGGCCAACTGTTGGGCAGTGTGCATGGAATCCTATGTAAGAAGTGGGAAATAGAAAGATCTGGAGAGGACAGGAACTCCACAAGGAGAGCAACAGAACCAGAAAATTTGAACACAGGGGTCTTTCCAGATACTCATACTCCAACCAAGTACCATGCATGGAGATAACCTAGAACCCCTGCACAGATGAAGCCCATGGCAGTTTAGTGTCCAAGTGGGTTACCTAGTAATGGGAAGTGGGACTGCCTCTGACATAATCTGATTGGCCTGCTCTTTGATCACCTCCCCCTGAGAGGGGAGCAGCCTTACCAGGCCACAGAAGATGACAATGCAGCCACTCCTGATGAGATCTGATAGACTAAGATCAGAAGGAAGGAGAGGAGGACCTCCCCTATCAGTGGACTTGGGGAGGGGCATTCGTGAAGAAGGTGGAGGGAAGATGGGATTAGAAGGGGAGGAGGAAAGGGCTTATGGGGGGATACCAAGTGAATAAAGTGTAATTAATAAAAAAAATGTTTTAGAAAAAGAAAAAGAAATAGCAAATGTTGGTAAGATGTGGAAAAACTGGAAGTCTTGAACACTGTTGGTGAGAACAACAACCACTGTGGAAATCAGGGTAGTAGTTTTTTTTCGTAAAAGAATTCCCATGTCATCTAGTATATATACCTCTGTGCATACACTCAGAAAAACTGGAAGAAATTTCTTGAAAAAATATTTTATAGCCACTCACATAGCAGAATCATTCACAATAGCTGACACAGGGAAATTAAACCAAGTTTACATTCACAAATGAATGGATAAGTAAAATCTGGAAAGTACATACAACCTGAGATGAGTCAGCTTTTTTACAAAAGGTGATTTTCACCTTCCCCTGAGGGGAGAGCAGCCTTACCAGGCCACAGAAGATGACAATGCAGCCACTCCTCTTGAGATCTGATAGACTAGGATCAGAAGGAAGGAGAGGAAGGCCTCCCCTATCAACGGACTTGGGGAGGGGTATGCGTGGAGAAGGGAGAGGGAAGGTGGGATTAGGAGGGGAGGAGAGATGGGTTTATGGGGGATACAAAGTGAATAAAGTGTAATTAATAAAAACTAAAAAAAAATAAAAAACCTTTTCACATTACTGAAAATATTAAGCTTCTGTGTTCACCAGCAGAAACAAAATCACTAAAGCATATCACATCCTGAGCA